CCCCTGGACCTGACCCACTGAGCCTGGTAACAGCCGCCCCCCAGAGCTGACCCATCCAGCCCAATACCCTGCCCCCAGGAGCTGACCCATCCAGCCCAGTACCCTGCCCCCTTACCACCCCCTAGACCCAACCCATCCAGCCTGGTAACACCCGCCCCCCCCGGAGCCAACCTTCCAGCCTAGTAACACCACCCCCCCTCCCCCCCCGCCCAGGAACCGACCCATCCAGCCCGGTACCCACACCCTCCCTGCCCCCAGACCTGACAAAACCAGTCCAGTACCCACCAGCTCCCTGCCCCTCGAGCCAACCCATCCAGCCTGGTACCCGCCTCCTCCCTGCCCCCTGGAGCTGACCCATCTAGCCTGGTAACACCTTGTTACAAAGCGGCCTTTGACGGGACACAACTGAGAGTATCAATTCAGGACAAATTGCTTAGAGCAGGGCTGGGTTTCCTTTACTACTAAGGCACAGCAAACCAGCCCAACAGAGAGGATTTCGGTTTCACCCCACTGGCTAACCAGAAGTCATACAAGCAATTCTCTCAGACACTCCAGTTTCCCAGTATCACCACCAGTGCAACTCCTTATGGGGACGAATGGTTATGAAAACCAACACCCCAGTAAAAGAAAAAAGGTTCTCCTGATCCCAAAGGCCCAAGCCCCAGACCCAGGTCAATATACCAGTTAGATCTCACCCACAAATCACAATATTGCCAATCCTTTAGAATCTAAAATCTAAAGGTTTATTCATAAAAAGAAAGAAATATAGATGAGAGTTAAAACTGGTTAAATGGAATCGATTACATACAGTAATGGCAAAGTTCTTGGTTCAGGCTTGTAGCAGTGATGGAATAAACTGCTGGCGTAAGTTAAGTCTCTGGAGTACAGCCACAGCTTGGATGGGTCATTCAGTCCTTTGTTCAGAGCTTCAGTTTGTAGCAAAGTTCCTCCAGAGGTAAGAAGCAGGATTGAAGAAAATGCAGGGGATGCAGCTGCCTTTTATAGTCTCTTGCCATGCGGCCTGTGCTTCCTGTTCAGCTTGGCTTAACAGTGAAATCCTTGTTGATCTTAAACACAAAAAAGAAGTTTACAAGAAGTGGAAGATTGGACAAATGACCAGGGAGGAGTATAAACATATTGCTCAGGCATGCAGGAGTGAAATCACACTTGGAGTTGCAGCTAGCAAGGGATATTAAGAGTAACAGGAAGGGTTTCTTCAGGTATGTTAGCAACAAGAAAAAGGTTAGGGAAAGTGTGGGCCCCTTACTGAATGAGAGAGGCAACCTAGTGACAGAGGATGTGGAAAAAGCTAATGTGCTCAATGCTTTTTTTGCCCCTGTCTTCACGAACAAGGTCAGCTCCCAGACTGAGCAGCACAGCATGGGGTGGAGGTGACCAGCCCTCTGTGGAGAAAAAAGTGGTTCGGGACTATTTAGAAAAACTGGACAAGCACAAGTCCATGGGGCCAGATGCGCTGCATCCAGGGTGCTAAAGGAGTTAGCGGATGTGATTGCAGAGCCATTGGCCATGGTGATCGGGGGAGGTCCCAGATGACTGGAAAAAGGCTAAGGTAGTGCCCATCTTTTAAAAAGGGAAGAAGGAGGATCCGGGGAACTACAGGCCAGTCAGCCTCACCTCAGTCCCTGGAAAAATCAAGGAGCAGGTCCTCAAGGAATCAATTCTGAAGCACTTAGAGGAGAAGAAAATGATCAGGAACAGTCAGCATGGATTCACCAAGGAGAAGTTGTGCCTGACTAACCTCATTGCCTTCTATGAGGAGATAACTGGGTCTGTGGATGAGGGGAAAGCAGTAGATCTGTTATTCCTTGACTTTAGCAAACCTTTTGATATGGTCTTCCACAGTATTCTTGTCGGCAAGTTAAAGAAGTATGTGCTGGATGAATGGACTATAAGGTGGATAAAAAGCTGGCTAGATTGTCGGGCTCAACGGGTAGCGATCAATGGCTCCATGTCTAGTTAGCAGCCGGTTTCAAGCAGAGTGCCCCAAGGGTCGGTCCTGGGGCCAGTTTTGTTCAATATCTTCATTAATGATCTGGAGGATGGCGTGGATTGCACCCTCAGCAAGTTTGTAGATGACACTAAACTGGGAGGAGTGGTAGATACGCTGGAGGGTAGGGATAGGATACAGAGGGACCTAGACAAGTTACAGGATTGGGCCAAAAGAAATCTGATGAGGTTCAACAAG